GCACCACCACTCGGGCTGCATTAGCTGCACGGCTCACCCCTGACAAAGCTTCGTTTGTCGCTTCAATGTATTTTGCAAGTTATTTTGGCGGCGATCGGCTATCTTTGTTGCAGCTTGTCTGTCCAAGGACGAGCTGCAGACATTGTCTGTGCGAGGGGCTCGCAAGTGACGATATGCCGGAGAACAGTTCCATGAAGCATGATAGCCCCCTCCTTCCCTACCTGTGATTTTAAAGAATAAAACGCAAACGAAACAATTTAGCATTTGTTTCCTCTTTCAGATCTCCCCAGATGGACAAAATGCAACCCAATAGGATTAAAATCACAGATCTGAATTCACATCTCACCTGTCCACTGTGCGCTGGGTATTTGGTTGATGCTACGACCATTGTAGAATGCCTTCACTCATGTAAGTACAATCCCCGATTTGACGTCTATTCCACTCAACGAATAAGCGGCTTGGATAATGGAAGGATAGAGTATCGTCGTAGATGACCAAGTCAAGTTTGGGCATCTTGAAATTATTCATGATACTGCATGTGTAGAGTACAAACTGCTCCACAACACAAAATAATCCACTTGCAAGAATAAGGTCAAACGAAACTGCTATTTGTCAAAAGAAATACATCGACTGGCTGAAATACAGATGTTGACCATGTTTGTCCCAAATTGAGGCCTCAAATTTTGTTGCAAACACTTCCCATTCAAATATTTGCAACTTGAATTTTGTGTACAAAAAGCCTTCTCTGGAGCTGGCGGCTGACAGACTCAAACACTGGCAGTTTTACCAATTTACCAATGGGGCCTAATGAACGAGTTGGAGCAGCGACACAAAAAGGCACACTCAGTTACTGCTATACTGCTTTTGATTTGATCGTTTCACGTTTATGGTGTAGAAGTGTTTTTCAGGGAAAAAAAACAGTTACTGTAGTACTGGCTTAACTACTGTGTTAGTGTAGGTTAGTAGAAATGCACAATGCAATATGACTTGATTTTAGGGGCCAAAGCTGCCATAAGGTCGAATAAGAATGTCACCTAGTGTTGTGTAAAAAAAAAAAAAAAAAAAAATTCTATTAATAGTGTTGGCCTGTGTTGTGTCCCTTTGTGTAGTTTGTAAAACATGCATCGTTGCCTTTTTGGAGACAAACAAATTCTGCCCTCGGTGCGACGTCCAGGTTCACAAGACATGTCCACAGCTCAGCATCAGGTAAGCAAACGTTTGCTATCATTTATGAAAGATATTTATTAATCAAAAACATTTTTTTCCCCATTTAGAGCGGACAAAACTCTACAAGATATCGTATATAAGCTTGTTCCGGGATTGTTCAAAGGTAAGACCGCCCACATTTTCATGTAATAAAGCACCTTTGAAACAAGCTTTGTTTGATCTTGAACAGAAAATGGCTTTAAAAGGCATCGCTCAAGTTGGTTGTGTTTCACTGTCTTCACAGATGAGATGAAGCGGAGGCGAGATTTCTACTCGGAGAATCGTGTTCTGGAACCAGGGGAAGTGGTGGAGACATTTAACATTGCAGAAGATGAAATCATCAGTTTGTCAATACAGTTCTACGAGAGGAACAAGTTAGTGGTTCTGTTGTGCGTGTGCATGTGCGTGTGTGTGTGTGTGTGCGTATTTTCAAAATCCAATTTTAAAATGACAAAATACATTGTCACCGCTTATTAGACCCCTTGTGTAAGGTAGTGTGACATTTAACACCTGAGATTCACTGTCCAAGCACTTTTGTGTTGAAAGCAATTGTTGCCAACACATTGACGTTTACCACACATATAAATACAGGTACCTCAGTAGGCCAAGACGCACTGGTTAGCTGAATATGCAGTGACACACGCTTCAGTGAAAGTGAGTTCTGTATGAAAGGCACAACTGGATCAATCTCTTCTGTTACATCTTAGTTTACTGGCAAGTCCGTGTGAAAGTGGACAGTCAAACGTGGTGGCATCGGTTTTGTGGGGGGTTTTCTTCTTCAGGGACTTGCACTTGCCGTAAGTCAAGGTGGACAGGCATATGAACAGCTCATAATACTGGACATCTACTGAATGTATCCACATTCTGTACATCCAAATCAGTAAAATAATGCAATTGACAGTCAAAATTTAAAAGTTTTGGAATGACCCGACTAGCTCATAACTTTAAAGCACGCGCTCCACGGAACAATATTTCCAGACGCAAGACATGAGAAGACAAATGTTCACCAAGTGTGATGAAACATACATTGCAGGTAGGCTGCGACGGAGTGAATTTCATATTGAAAAGTGTGGTTACGTTCCTGGCTCGTGAAAAGTGGCTAAAAAGGAGTTATTCTCGTGCTGCCCCTCGGACTCACCACCTGTGGGAGGGGCCAAGATGCTGTGACGGTCATGTCATTTCATGGTATCGTTTGGTTTAGCGCAACAATCACATCTTCCATCACTGCTTCCTCTCACTAAAATGTACCACCATAATTGGGTATCTTTTCTTTAAGGCTGACAAAACTGTACAGAGCATGCAACACAATTATAGACGAACATTTCAAAACAATGTAAAAAAAAATAAAAAATCAATTTAAAATCGTTCAGGTTGAAGCTCACGTCATTTTCCTAAAAGAGGCGTTCACCTTTGGTTAGCCACTCTACAGTGCTTAATGCGTTATAGTTATATTATGAATATGGATCCGATATGCTCTGATTTTCTGAATTTGCCTACAGAACTAATGAGAAGCAGTGTGCAGAGATGGATGGAGACAAGGTAAAACCTGCTTTCACTTTAGGGATAAAGATCAGAGCCTACATCCTGTTTTCATGTTGTTTTTTTTTTCGGGGGGGGAGTCCTCACTCTGGATTTGTGCTTTGTTCTCAGTCCAACGGTAAACGCTTCCTGCAGTGCCCAGCAGCCATGTCCGTCATGCACTTAGCGAAGTTCCTCAGAAGTAAAATGGATATACCCAGCAACTACAGGGTAATCACACACATAACATCCAATCACGGGATGAAGTGTTCATCCCATGCTGCAAATGTGCCTTGCCAAACCCTAACCATAAAACGGATCAAAAATGAAAAGCTGAATTCTGAAAACGGGTCTGATCTTGACTCGAGGGCAATCTCCGTTTTAAGTGACCTTGAAAAACATACAGTGGCCTGCCTACACAAGGGATCTGCTTGTCATTGTCAATTCTAGCATACGTGCAATTTAAAGCAATGCCTGATCAACTAAAGCAAAAGTCCTGACAGGATCATTTTCACTCTTGCTAAACAACTCGTAAGCGCTTCCTTGCTGTATGGATGTGGCGACTTATGGATCACAAAGTCAGTCTGTACCGCTGGAAAAGCCAGATGAGCTGAAAGAGTTTCTTCTCATGTCTGTTGTCCAGTGAGCTCTGCGATCAGCTTGCTGCAATGATTTGAGAAATGGCTTTGCCATAACAATGTCTATAACACAGGTGTAAAACTCTGGTCCTCGAGGACCGCTATCCTGCATGTTCTCCATCTCTCCCCGCTGTAACACACCTGATCCAGGGTCATGATCAGACTGCTGCAGAGCCAGAGTGTCTCCATTAGTCTAAAGACAGCATTCGGATTAATCTTATGCTTGTAGAGTTTAGCAGCAAAATCCACCCGATTTCAGCCATCTCAGGGGGTGACCACTTGATGTCAACTCAACTTCAGAAAACAGGTGAGCCGTGATTGGTTGTTACCTGAGCCCCGAGCAACTGTCATGACATTTTCAGTTGACAGCAAGTGGCAAAGTGGCCACCTCCCCGAGATGGCAAAAAACGGGCGGACTTTGCTGCTTAACTCATATTCCATAAATGCCACAATTGCAATATTGCTCACAATCCCATGTTTAGACTAGTGAACTGCATAGAACATATATAATTGCAAAGCTCTTTCTCACCATTTTTCCAATTCAGTGCTTTTTTCGTGGAGCTGTTCATTAAAAAAAAATAAAATTCACTCAAAATTGAAATCTACATCACGACAACTACAATGTATTTCCTCTAACAAATGATAAGTGTCAAACTTCATAGAGCAAGTCGAAATGGAGTCGGTGCCTCAAAATGTAGTCAATGTGGTGGAATGTCAAGTCAGCTTTTATTGTCAAATATGCTCGATGTGTAACATATAGCACAGATGAAATTACCTTCCCCTCTCAACCACAGTGCAAACATGTAGTGCATTGAACAGACACAGCTAAAATTTAAAATTTACATAAATATATAAATATGTTAAATAAAATAAATAAATAAACAACAGACAACCAAGGGCACTTGTGATTATTGTGGGTAGTGACTTATTTTAAGTGTAATAATCGGATGTCTGGGGGTGGGGGGGCACCGATTGTTCTGCGGCTAATGTTGCATAATGTGTGTGTGTGTGTGTGTGTGTGTGTGTGTGTGTGTGCTTTGTGCTTGTAGGTGGAGGTGTTGTATGGGGACGAACCTCTGAAAGACTACTACACGCTAATGGATATTGCCTACTTCTACGAGTGGAGACGGGTGAGTGAGGGGAGTCTTCATCTTGATTTGTATTTTATCGGCTGAGTTACTCTGCCGTGAAAAAGTATTTGCTTTCTTGTCAAATTTTTTTTTTTTTTTTTGTTCTTTTGCTTAGTTTTTCAACTTTAATGTTTAAGAGCATCAAACCATTGTAAATATCAGACAGAGATAACCCAAATGAACATCAAATTCAGTTTTTGAAAAATAATTGTATTTCTTCAGGGGGGAAAAAAAACATCTGGCCCTGTGTGAAAAAGTATTTTTGGGCCACTCAGCAGGAACAACTGAAATCAAACATTTTCAACACCTGGCGAGGAGACTTTCAAATCAATACTTTTTTCAAACAGGGCCAGGGAGCTTTGAATGTTTTTTTTTCCCCTTCCTAAATACAATCATTACCGAACTGCATTTAATGTTTATTTGGTTGATTTTTGTCTGAAATTAGCATTTGTTTGATGATATTAAACATTAACCCTTTCAGGGACAGCGGTTACTACAGCGTGTTATCAGGTTACAGGTTAACCCATCATTATTGGCGCAGGAAAGGGTTAAAGTTGGGAAACTGCACAAAATAAGAATTTGGGAGAAGGGCAAATACTTTTCACAGCACTGTATATATGCATCACCTGGCATTGAAAAACTAAAAGCCTATTTAGAATTAAGGTTTCAGAGATGAAAGTCCTCTGGATTTTCCCGGAATTCCGGGTTTTTCACATTTTTATGAAAATCTCTCCGGAGAATTGAGGAAAAATTGCCTCAAATTAATTCGGATATTAGTTGACAACATTGAACGAAGACGCGTTTGAGTTCGTTGTTTTGCTTTCACGAGCGTCGCCATGTTGAGACACTAACACAAGTAACAGTAAAGAGATTTTCGTCTCTTTTAAACACACTTGCTAAACCCCAGTGGAACGAATAAAAGACAAGACAGTTGTCGTAAAAAATATATTTGGACAAAAAGGGAAACACACAGATTGGCAGAAAAACGTGTCCGTCTGACTTCGAGTGTCGTCTCGGCGAGCTTAGCTTAGCTGTTGTTGTGTGTGACGTCGGGTGTGTGACGTCGGGTGTGTGACGTCGTTGCGTCGGCGCTTATTGGTTGAAATCAAAAGACGCGCTTGCGTGGCGCTGACGCACGCACAGTAGAGAGCAGCGGACTAGCTCGAGTGGCGTCGCCACAACAGTAATAGCCTCGCCTCGCATTCTCATAGCCTCGGCATATCTGAGATTTCGAAATTTCGGCGAGAACGGAAGCCACAAAGGGTGCATGAGCCCGATCACTTAACTTGATTTGCAGGCCCGAGCCCGAAGCAAACCCGAGATTTCATATTTTATTTGTGAGGACTCGGGAGGAGGAGGGGTGATTTCTGATAACAAATCCTGTCTTTTGGAACGAAATCTTAAACAAGACTGGATAAACATTTACATCTTTTATATTTCTGTTCCTGAAGAGGTTACATTAGCGGACAATTTTCCATCATTGACGGATTTTTTTTAAGAGTGGACGGGAAAATTTTAAGGCCGTCCGTCATTTTGACGGGTTGAAAATTGAGCCATTCACCACAGCAGCAGTACGTCCTTAAAGAATGGAGTGCGGCACTTGAAGAGAGAGAAGCAGCGAGACCAAAAAGAACAAATATGGCTGGATCATAAAGATGTGAAGGAGTTTTTTGAATTGTCATTGCGAGAGTTTAGCACAGTGCGTGTTGTGATGACGCCGCTTCTGTTTTTTGCGAACCACGGTCTCTCGTGGTCAAAACTATTCACGGCCTCGAAAAAAAAAAAAAAAAAGTCAGCGAGAGAGAAGCCCGACCCGAACCCGAAGCAATGATTGATATTTTAGGGCCCGGATTTCGGGTCGGGTCGCGCTCGGGCGGCCTGATCTTACCGTTTCATGAATCTATAACACGACGGCCCACCTTATGTACGGCACATTAAAAGTTATGGTTCAGGAAAGTCCACTTTCATCTCTGAGGTTTGGAAAGGTCAAGCAAAAGGTGGTCTGGATATTCTGACATTTCGTCAGTAAATCAAATCAAATTTACCATCAGCAAAAAAAAGAAAAAAGAAGTGAAATGGCACATTTATTGTTTTTGCCTTTAGTACAGTGTGGTGCACATTGACAATTCTCGGTTGACTTTGAGTCCTGAAATTGTCGCAATTTTTTTCAAACAGACTTGCATTCAAGGCTCAAAATAACTATAACAATCCCCTTCATGGAAAGTTGTGCATTGCTTACTTGTTATCTTACAATGAATTTGGCAGTGTAAAATTGTTATGTTGTAGCTGTTCACTAGCACTTGTGTACAATGTTTGAAGGAGTGGTAATGTACATGAAGGCCACCAGTGTGGCAGTAAAATTAGAAGCAAAATGTTGAGGAGCAATCCACTACTTATCTGCCCCCAAATTATATTCTCATTAAATTATTATACTTGTTGGTCCAACGTGTTTGTTTATCGATCCATTTTCAATTATGGGTGTCATGATTCAGGTCCCTTGTTCGGTGGCGTTAAAATCCTTTGAAGTTGTCTCCTTGATGTTTTTAGAGGACATGTTTTGCCAGATTAAGCCATCCTGCTCCCCTCATGACTCTGTTCCTCTCATTTCTTTAAGGAGGTTCTCCCAAGTATTGGTAAATTGGTTTTGGCCATTATCAACTGCAGGCTGTCGTCTGGTCTAGTCCCCCAACAATTTAAACATGTTGGGGTGCACCCGCTGCATAAGAAACCTGGCCTTGATTAAGGTGTGCTGTCAAATTTGAGATCCCTCTCCAAGATGTCTTCTATATATTTTTTTAAAATGAAAAAGTGGTGCACACACAGTGGAAATCTTTCATAGAGGTCTTCCAGTCAGATTTTAAGATAACGCATAACAGCACTGTTATGAATTTTTAGTAGTCGAGTGGTTAGCACGTTGACTTCACAGTGCAGAGGTACCGGGTTCAATTCCAGCTCCGGCCTTCCTGTGTGGAGTTTGCATGTTCTCCCCGGGCCTGCGTGGGTTTTCTCCGGTTCTCCGGTTTCCTCCCACATTCTAAAGACATGCATGGCAGGCTGATTGAACACTCCAAATTGTCCTTAAATGTGAGTGTGAGCGCGTATGGTTGTTTGTTTCTGTGTGCCCTGCAAATGGCTGGCAACCGGTTCAGGGTGTCCCCTGCCTACTGGCCGAAGACTGCTCGGATAGGCTCCAGCACCCCCCGCGACCCTAGTGAGGATAAAGCGGTTCGTCAAATGAATGAATGAATGTTCTTGGCTAATGACACTTGAGACTGTGTGTTTCTTGTTTTGTTAGATCTAACTGCCACATTTGATACAGCGGACTGCAGCACATTGTTGGCTCGTTTGCAGCACCAGGTGGGGATTAGTGGTAGTGCTCCTGAGTGGTTTGGATCCTATTTGGCTGACAGAACTTTTTGTGTTATTCTTGGTTACTCTGAGTCCCGCGCTGCGTCAGTTGTCCTATGTTGTTACACAAGGTTCAATTCTGGGCCTCTGCTGTTTTCATTGTGTCTTCTGCCCCTGGGTTCAATCTAAGAAAACATGGTATTTCCTTCCATGGCCATGTGGATGACTGTCAGATTTGTGTCCTGCTGTGCAAAAAGGATGCATTCTCATTAAGGCCACTTTTGTCCCGTCTGGAGGAAATCAAGGCCTGCACGGCATTGAATTTCTTGAATTTCAATGAAACGAAGAGAAGTGATTTTGTTTGGTCCAAGTGGTCCAACATCTCACTCTGCTGACTTGGGCTCCTGTGGCACCTTATCTCAAGCCAACAGACTCAAACTTTTGATTTAATATTGAACTGGCAAACTGGCTCGACTCTTAAATCCATCTTTTTGTTTTGTTTTTTTTTTGCCTTAAGCAGATGGTCTCTTCTTTCTCAACACCACAGTCATCCTTGCCTTAGTTACATCTGGGCCAGGTTACTATAATGCACTTTATTTTGGAGTCAGCTTGTCCAATCTCAAGTGTATCCAGTTGGTTCAAAATGCTGCTGCTCGCCTCCTGACTGGTGCTCGTAAGGAGCACATGATCTCCAATTCTGGCCTCCCTGTATGTTTGAGTTTTTTTTTTTTTTTAAAGATGCCTTTTGTTTTTCAATGGTCTTGCCCTACCTGCTGAGAGAGGATTTTCTTCTTCCATTGCTCGTCCCTCTCTTTGCAACGATGCCCCGCTAAATGTTAGGCCCCCTCTCTGCCCATTTTTAATACTTAAAACCCTTTTTTATTGTATGGCTTTTGACTCAGCATGAGAATTTGTATTATTTTAGTGTTTTGTGGTGTTTCCTGTTTTTGTCAATTTATTTTTAAGTGACTGTTACTGTATGACAAATTTTTACTCCATGTACAGCTCTTTCAACGCAGCTACGGTTGTTGAAAAGCGCTCTATAAATTTGAGCTGAGCTGCTCTGACACGGTGGGTGGCATGCGAAGTGGCGGGAGAGTGGGTGGCGGCCCTGTTGATGAATAAATAAGAGGCCTTTGGCCGGCCAAGAATACACTACATCCATGTGAATGAACCCTTGCTATATTGTTAATCGAGCAAGGGATAGGCATCCAGCACACTATACGGCGTAGCCAACGGCAGAAATTTGCGTCCACAGTATTCTATGGATCATCCCACCCCTCCAGCAATAGTGCTCCGCGCACCATTGCTCAGCCTCTGCCATCATCTGAGATTGCACCGCTTAGTTCAAAGTGAATGGCGCAAATGTATGTTGTGTACTTGTGTGCAGACTGGACCCATTCCCCTGCAATACCTGGTCAAACCCACAAGGAAGCGTAGGAGGCCATCCCAGTCTGCCGTCCAGGGCCACTCTGATGGCGTCAACACCAGCCCGACCTCAGAGAGCGATTCACAAAGCGACAAAGTCCACAGTCCCACGTCGGCTCAGATACCCCGAGCCTCCACGCAATCCAGCCCTGCGCCTCACACCCTCTCTCCTGCCATCCAGAACTCCAACGGTACCACTGTGCCCAACAACACTCAGCGACATGCTCTCTCCTCCAAACAGGGAGCCTCTGCTCGAAAGGTGACCGTTAACGGCACAAACTCTGCTGCCAACAAAGAGGAGGCCAGGGGAGGAGAAAAAAGCGGGATGCCTCCTACAACCTAATATCTGCTCATGACACAAGGGAGGACAGTATTTGGATTGCTCCCCTCTCAAGAGCGAAAATACAAACTGGAGCCTTCTTTCTTTTGGGATAAAGAGGGAGTTTTCATCTTTCACCATGAGACTCAAAGTGTGCAGCCAAATAGATGTATGTGAATTAGACTAGAACAGAGCACACATAAGGACTGTACAGTATGTATCAAGTGTGGGCATGTGTGCGTACATATGTATAAACTTATCTTTTATACAAGACATTGTAATCATTTTGTATTGTATATGCAGTGGTTGTTTCATTTCCACCGTTCAATTTGTACATTCATTTGGCTTCTGTAAAACTTGACAAATTGCAGAAGATTGCAGTGAAAATTGCTGCACCATTTGGATATAAAGGTTAAAAAAAAAAAAAAGTAATTTTTGCCTTGTCATTCAATAACTGCTGTATAAGTGTCCAATATAAGCAAGCACCCATGAGGTAACATGTTCATGACAAAAACTGTTGATGCACTTTCCTTGAGTCTGGCCACAGTCCAAACCAACAAGTATTTGCCACCATGAGTAGCTTTCACTTTTTAAGCACTCCCGCCATCGCTTGCTCTCCTGTGAGCGTGAGTGTGTGCGTGTGTGTCAGATGACCGTAATTTTGTCTCATGTCAGAAGAACTCGAAAGAGATTTGAATACATGGCCATGTATCTAGTTTCATAAAATTCAGCATTCCTTTTGCTTCCGTTCCAACAACAACAAAACAATGCTTTAAAAATAAAAACAGCCATTTGTGCATGTTTTAGGGTCAATAAAATGTTTACTAGGTTTTTTGGAACAGTGTCTTAATCATTTCCTGAGAAGGTCAGGAAGTTGTGAAACATACTGTGAAATAAAGTTCAATGCTGGCAGTTTTAAGATATTTATTATGCCTAATTTATCTACATCCCAAAGATAAGCTTTGACGAAGAAACCATTCACTTAACTGATAACTAACACTCACAAACTGTCTAGACCAGCGGTTCTTAACCTGGGTTGGATCGAAGCCTGGGGGTTCGACGGAACCTCTGCCGTGGAGGTTAAGACACACCCGACTCAACATGTCAATTTGTTATGACACGCCCCCTTGGCCATCGCTGGCTGCAGATGGATCACATTCCAATCAGTGCTGCGGGAAATTTAGGTCGCTCAGAAGTCAACATGTGACTGTCGTGATAGTATGAGTGTGATTTTTTTTTTTTTTTTAAGAATGTTTTCATGGTAACTATGTTGAGCAAAAAAAAACCGTTGTACAAATATGTACCACATGGATTCACATGCATCACGGAACGTGATGGGACTCAGCATCCTTTTTACATGATTTGTCATGCCAAGTTGAGCAACTCTAGTCTCGCACCGGCAAAACTGAAGGAACACTCCTTGAATATTTATTTTTCAGTAATGAAGGGTTTGATGAATGTGCATATGAACTGGTTGGGTTCGGTACCTCTAATAAGGTTAAGAACCACTGGTCTAGAGGTTTGCCAATGTAGGAGATTGAAATTGAAACCGTTGACATTTATATAAATGTACATACAGTATGTTCTGCATTTATAACCGTTGTTCTAAATGTCCAGTGAAATTGGAGACTTAAGTTTGGCCAAAAAGGCACTTTAGAAGCAAGATGCATTTTAACTATTAGTTTAGTTCATGCAGCGGCGCAGATATGATGAAGTCCTGCTTGTGCGTGCCATCGCAGTATGGACGGTTGTTTGTGTATTTGCAGCCACACAGCCAAACTGTGGTGTCTTTCTCCGGGACGAACCGTAGTGGCGACAGGCCCTGGGCTTTGGTCTTGTGTGTTCCATCGCAGAAAGGCTGAAAGATTCACAGAAAATACCCAATGTGCACAATGCACTTTCAAACCCATACAGGTGCTGTGAAAAAGTATTTGCCCCCTTCCTGATTTCCGTGTTCACTTGCATATTTATCCTCACACAAAGGTTTCAGCTAATCAAACCAATTTTAATAATACACAGAGACAACCCAAGCACACAAAAATTCAAACCGTCTCCAGATCTCAACCCCATTGAAAATCTTTGGTGGGAGTTGAAAGTCCAGCGACAGCCCCAAAACATCACTGCTCTCGTGGAGAGCTGCATGGGCCAAAATACCGGTACTAGCAACGGTGTGTGAAAAGTGAAAAGAAAACGTTTGATCTGGGTCATTGCCAACATAGGGTACAGTATACATGTATTGATATAAACTTTTGTTCTTGACAAAATACTTATTTTCCACCATAATGTGGAAATAAATTCTTTAAAAATGAGGCAATGTGATTTTCTGGACGTTTTCCCGCATTTTATTTCCCCATAGTTGTGGTATACCTGTGAAGAAAGTTACAGGCCTCTCGCATCATTTTAAGCGGGAGAACTTGCACATTGGTGGCTTGCCCCACTGTACACAATGTCAACTACAACACCATCAATTAAAGCAGTATCTCTCGAATGCAAACAAAACTCTGCATGATCTTATGCAAAGGTTTTCATTTTATTACCTTGTCTTCCCCATGAGCCATAACAACATAAGTGGTATTGAAAAAGTATGGCCTAATTGTACACGTTTAATTGTAAACCAATTTAATTATACAATACAAAGCGCACAGAACATTTATTCTAGTTACATATAGCATTTACCTGCTTCTTGCTGTGTCCACAGGTGCACCAAGAGTAACGCTTTCCACCAACAAGATCCACTTTGAAAGGCTTCTTGGAGGGGATGACCGGTTTTGGTGGAATTGTGGACAGATGGACCTGATGACAGTTGCACACACACTTCTTTTAATTACATTTAAAACAAAACTTTTGTACTAATACATCTATTGTCGGTCCCGCTATTCAGATTGTCCTCAAAATCACAAGTGAGGCGTCGCCTATCCCACCGGTCTTTGGACTGTAAACATGACTAATTCATCGAATATTTACAGCATTGTTCTTTTGTACTCACTACGCACATTCGTCAGTCCAACCAAACACACTATAGTTGTTGTGTTGAAGGTGACGAGAGTATCACGCAACCATTAAAGATTCGAAAGAAAAAAAATATAGAGCGCTCAAACTGGAATTAACGCTGCTTAAAACCACGTCAGAAGTAGGAATGCGTCATGTACATTGCAGTATTTGCACATCAGTAAATAAAACGTAATTAGTACACAGTAAAGCAGTGATTCCCAACCTTTGTTGAGCCAAGGCACATATGTTAAATTCGAAAAATCGCACGTCATTCCACCTAACAGAATTGTCACAAAAAGAGGATAACTATGTCAATTTAATAATTTTTGCCATCTAACATAAGATCATTTATTTGCTATTTCTGTCACTGGTTGCTGGCATGGATAGAGGGTCAAATATACATTCTTTGATATTAATAATTTTCTCACCAATCAAGTGAAATGTGATAAGTTCCAACAGCTCTCAATGTGCCCAGGCACACAGCACACTGGTTGGTAATCACTGCCGTAAATCGATCAGTTTACCTTTGAAACCATAGTTGTCATCAGAGCTTGTTTCAAAATTGAAGAAATCCATCTGTGATCTAATTTGGCCACCAGGTTGTTCAGTTTTCCAATTGTCATGTTGCCTCAGCTGGAGTTAATAATCGTATCCTCTCGCTCACTCTACTCAACACAACACACCATTACCAGAACAGTAAATAACAATGGCCATTCAATAAAGCGACAACATAAAAATACAGTTGTATCCTCTCTTCATATAAACGCAGTTAAACACTGCGGTCAAGCCAGCCTCCACTCGCAAAATCGAAGTCAAGTGAGCCTCCACTGCGATTGTCAACACTGTGCATTACGGTAATCTGTCGCCAGCGAGCGGCGTTGGCCACCTTCAAAATAAAAGAGCCTCCACGCATGCATAAACGTCATTTTTTTTTTTTGAGTGAAAAGAAATTAATTAAAATATAAAATAAGTACTTTCTTGGCTGTCAGGTAAAGATTCACAGAGGAAGAAAAAGAACTCTCACAACAGCACCAATAAGTGTTCTCAAGTGGAGATAGAAAATAAAGTCAATGGTGATTGTACATCAATTTCAGTTGATATTAAAAATAATTCGACATCAATTTCACTTGATATTAAAAAAAATCATTAAAACAATAAATCTGGGTGATGTTCCAGTACCAATGAAAATGCCTCTCAAATATGACATTTTGAGCTCCTCTCCTTATTTCAAAAGATTCTTAAAAATGAATTTCAGTTATCCCTCAATCAAACCAGGCGTGTGGGACACGAGAGCACTCCAGGTATCCAACCAGACCACCCTCATTCGGATCTGATGTCCTCTGAAAAGTGACAAGATGGCCTGCGTTCTGACATGACCTGCATTCTAACATGTTGATCTTTTCTCCCATTTTTAGAACATCCTAAAAGAAGGAATCCAGCACCCCGGCTCTTCACCCAGACCACCCTCGTCTGGATCCGATGTTGAATTTTGAAATAAAAGGCCTCTGAAAACTGGCATGTTGACCTGATTTCTGA